GATATATCAGATGTTTAGTTTGTTTTGTTCCAATGTTAAAGTTTATGGTAATTGAAATAGAAGATGTTGGTTGATTGTAACTAGAAGTTGTGTGTAAATTTCGAGAACAAAATTTTTATTAGGAGGGAAAAATTGTAAAACTTGAAATTTGACTATTGTAGCCGTCGCGATGAAATTTAAGTGAAAATTTAAAGTTAACGAATTTCAACGTAAATAATTTTATAAAATTCTACGTGAAATTCTAAGAAATTGGTATATAGAACTTATGTTTAATTTTGTATATTTTGAAAAATAAAAATTTTATAAGTTTAAACATATCCAAAATACCCTTAGTTAGTACTCAATCGAAAATAATTTAAGTGAGGGCAAAGTGGACATTTGCAATCCTTATTTTCCTAAATAATAAGAGGCCGAAATTTCCCCTTCCCCCATTCGCACGGTTCGGCCAAACCGAGAGGGAACGGACAAGCGGAAGGAAGGAGGCATACAGGTGGGGCGATCGGAAGGCTTCGGCTACAGCTTTTGGGGGCGGTTTCTGGCAGCCAAAGTTAGAAAATCTTAGGACAAGACAAAGGGAGAGTCAATTTATGATTAGAATTAAAAATTTCTCTCTTTTCCCTTAGATTTTTTAAAGAGAAATTTTCTAGGGTTTGACAAAAACCTAATTTTTCTTTATGAAATGAATAGAAAAAATTAAGGATGGTGTTTTAACGGTAGAAATGAAATTTCCTTCAAGAATTTTTTAGAATTGAAAAATTAGTTTTTTTACCTAAAATTGAAATTTTGAAAGTGCATTAACAAACATGATTCCTAAGGGTCCTAATAGGATTTCTAAGAGAATAAATTGGATTTTTCTCACAAAATGATATTTTCCTAATTTTTAAAATTAATAAATCCGAAAATATAAATTAGTTTAATTTAATTTAGGTTAGGGTAAATGGTTAATTTGGATATGTAATGAACTGTTGGGTGGCCGGTTCAACCGAACCGGCCAACCCGCCTTTTAATAGCCGCGACCCCAAAAAGGGGTCGGTATTGGCTGTTTCACGAAACAGAGCGCAGAAGGGGGGCGGACGACCGGATATTTGCGCGAAGGCTTGGGGAGACTTTCTTAAGCCAATTTTAGCAAACGAACGTGTTGGAGGGTGAGATTTAACAACTCCTTTTCGTTCTTATTGTTATAGAAGCAAAGATTTGGGAGAAATTGCAAAGAACGAGAGAAACGATCGAGATAAAGAAAGAAAAAGGTTTGTAGAATTTTCTTCCGGATTTTTGTATAAATTCCCTTCATTTACCTCGTTTAAAGTGAACAATATGTTTCTTAAAGGTAGAGGAAGAGAATTGAAGCAAAGAGAGAGAATATTAAAGAAATATTGAAAAGAAACGACAAATGAAATAGAATAGAAATGTTATGGTAAATGTAAAAGAAAGGAAAAAGGATATATATGAATATTTCAGGAGTTCACCCCCTTATGGTACTGGCTGGGGACGTCGTACTCGTGCACGAAAAAGGAAAATGAAAAGGCTATGGAAATGGAAAAGGTAATCAAATGGAAAAGGTTGTACCTTCGGGTACTTTGAGACGGTGCTCCTGTGCAAAGTAAATGGAAAGAAAAGAACATGTTTACAGAAGACGTCGTCCAAATGACAACAGGTAAATTAATTTTTTGTGTTTAGTGGCTCTTCAGTTAATAGAAAAGTTTTGATGATAAGTTATTATTATATTGATGGAAATGTACTATCGTCCGACTTTTCGTACCCGCCTCGTTAGATCGAGCATCCGGGCCGGGTCATGCCAGGATAAAATATGTAATTAGATTAAAATATGAAATTTTAGAATTTGTTGCATGTTTTATGTATTAAATTAGAGAGAGGGAGGGAGAAAGAGAAATTAGAGTGGCTTAAAAAGTGAAAAAGAATTTTATTTTAAACTTATTTTGTAGATTTTTGAAGGAGAGATTAATTCTTATAGGTGTTATTTGTGGTGACCTTGAAAGACCGACTAGCGAAGAGAATTAATTTCATAATTTCTTGTAAGTACTCATGGTTCTTTATTACAGTGATAATTTTGTTTCTCTCAAGTTATATGATTTGAAAGATCAAGCATGTTTATAAAATATTTATAGTCAATTTAGATCATGATTATGTTACTTTTGTTCAATGATTGATCATGCAATTTATATGTTACATTTTATGGCATTATCAGACAAAGTTTATATGTAATATAAATGAGATGATATGATTATGAAATGATTATTATATTGAGTGATTGTATGTGTATGCTGAGTTGATGGAGCTTACCCCCTTATGATACTAGCTGGGGACATTGTACTCGTGCATGTTAAAATGATAAAGGATATGAAAAAGAAAATGGTAAAAGAGTACATTTATGGTACTAGACGGTGGCTCATGCGACAGTTGTAATATATACGAAATGAGAAAGTTATGAATATTGATATGAATATGAATGATATGATTTATATTTATGTTTAATGTTATGTTTATATGAAGTAAATTTATGATATGCTTAGGTAGTATCTAGCATATTACTCATTTTGCCTTGAATTACAGTAATTTAGAGTCATGTTTTACTTACTAAGTGTTGGCTTACTGTTAGTTGTTAAAAATTTTCAGGTTTAATCATTTTAAATCATAATGAGTAGAATGGGCGGTAACGTGTACCGTAGGAGAGGCGCTCTAAATGAAATGTAATTATATGAATCTGTTTAAGGTTATGTTTGTGTTTTAAATTTTATTATTTTAGTGACTCTTTCAAATGTTATAGTGATAGTTTTAGATATTAGACATTTTGATGCAAGCAAAAATTTGGAAAGAGACCCCAAATTTTTGCAAGCAAATATTTCCCTTCCTAGAAAATAGAAATGACACAAATATCCTCAAAAAGATACAAAATACAGCAACTGAACAAAAAACAATTTAACTTTATAAAATAAGAAGACTTACAAACTTAGACACTTACAAACGACACAATAAAGACACCTAAACTTGCAGTTCCTTGCTTGAGAAGAAAGATACAAATGGGGTGGTCACTTGCGGATAGAAGAAAGAGGCAAGAAGTCCAAAACGAAAATAGGAGAAGCTCGCAAGCCTTTCCAAGAAGTAGAAGAAGAAGTGTAAAACAAGCTCTCAAGCTTTTCCAACAAAACCCTCAGGTTTACATCTCCAGAAATTGCATTTTTTCCAACCTTTTCAAGCCTCAAATCAGCCCCTATATATAGGAAGAAAGGGGAAACCAAACAGCCAGCCACCTCTCTTCAAACCAATGAAAAAGAGGGAAATAGAAGGCCAAGAAACATTCCAAACAGCAGCTGAAAAGACATCTCAAATATCAGTCAAATTCATTCCAATCCAGCTTACAAGGGGCGGAACCAGCAGAAACCGAGGCCAAGAAAAAGGGGGCGGAACCCCATCTTTATTTCACGGGAACAGCAACAGCAAGGGGAAAACCGAGAAGACAAAGGGGAAGTCACAGTTCAGGAATCCAAAAAGCCATCTCCAATTAACTACAACACACTAAATTTCAAGCACCAAGCAAAATGGGCCAAGCCCATTTAGTTAATTTCAGCCCACCTTTTAATTGCCCAAATATGGGTATGGCTTGCCTGCATCACATTTTTAGTCTATCGTCCGACCTCCGTTCCCGCCTCGCCTATGCGAGCTTACCAGGCCGGGTCGTGACACATTTATGAGCTAAAAAGGAGTTGAACTACAAGTAATAATGAGATAATTTTAGTAGAGAATATGGCAGCTCACCAAAGGGAAGCTAAAACCAAGACAACCAAGCCTAAACAAGGAAATCAAATCAAACTAAAAACAAGGCAAATCAATGGCCCCCCTCCCCCTGCCTACATCACTCGTTATCGAGAGGGGTAACTAACTATAGAGGCTTGTACCTATAGGAAACTAGAACTCATATCTTAAAGTCCTCGCTAAGAGGGTGAAATTTCTGGGCAATGTCTTATCTCTATCTAATCTGCCTTCCAAAAAATTTTCCCCGGAACTTCATTCTTTAAAACTCTCCTCGAATATAACGCAGAAAGGCTAAGGTCCCAAGCTCAAATTTTCGGAGCCCATGCATTGTACAGGCCAAAACCAAATAAATATATTTTGAATCACCTTATCTTCAATAGATGTCATCCAGTCTTTCCTCTAATATAATCATTCTTTAATTTATCATTCCAAGCCTTGTCACATATCAACTTAACATTCTCCTATATGTCACACTCAACTTAGATAATTAATGACGTTTTTCCTAACAAATATTTGGACACATATAATGTCACAGCCTAATTACAGTTTTATTGAATTTACCTCTTATTAAAAACTTATCTTTTAAGACTCTATAATGCTATCCTCTTACCACACAAAACTCCCAGGATAATTCTCCATTTTAACCATCCAAACCCTTAATTCTATAAGTTTATATAATCAGATATATTTTCATTATTTTGTATAATATATCCAAAGTATTTAAATCTATTAAACCTAGTTATCACATTATCTTCCAATAATATCAATTGATAATTATTAACATCAAATCAACAAAAATTGATATGATATGCTCAAACATTATTTTACTAATTCAAAGGCCTCTATTCTCTAACATTTCCTCCGTTATTTTAATTTTTCACTAATTTCAATGAATATCTCACTAATAAAAATTATATTAAAAAATATATATTCTGCCTCCATTAATTTTGTATAACCACCTTATTGGTGCATCTTCTACCTCCATTGTCTACCATTGTCTAGGTTTAAGTAAAAATAATTTTCTCAACCCTTAACTTCAATTAGTAAAACATGAAAGAAATAATCGAGCCAAAAGGTGTATGTTACTATGCTTCAACAAAACTTGAACTGAATAGGCAGGGTTAAAATTGTACTATGGATAATTAATGAGTTCAACAAAAGGTTTATGGTCCTATTAACCAAAAGAGAAAAACACGCCAAGAAAAAGCATTTAAATAAAAAAACTATACCCGTCATTCATTAAGGATTCTCCTTCAATTATTGTACTTAATTTTTTACTTGCTCCAAGTTCTTTCAGTAAAGCAACGACTGCAACAGGATCTGTAGCACTAAGAAGTCCTCCCAACAATAATGACACCTTGTAGTCCCACCCGTAGGGAAATGTTAACTGAAGTAAAGTTGCAATTAGAATAGTATACAAATTTTGCCAAGAAATAGTAGCTTTTTAAAAGACTACCTTTAATGCTGTTCCAAGAAAAAAGGTCGATATTACAACTCCAGGTCCAGCAAGTAGCAGCATTTGCATAAAACATCTCTGCAGCAATAAGTTATGTCACAAAAATAAATTGAATCTCAAGAGGGATAGCCTTGTCATGAGGTTGGCTATATAAAATTTTCTCCTCCTAGTTACGAGCAAATTTTTGTGTTAATTATCTTCAGCTCTCTTTTGAACAACTTTTAATCATGTTGTTTACCTGTTTTTTTCCCGTCAAAAGTGTCAAATTAGGAATTGATACAGGCAAAGTTATTAGTTGGTTTTTTGTTTTTTTTAATTTCCATGGTTACCGACATGCCCATAATAATGGCCTTCACTTGAAAAAGGATTTGTTTGTTATTTCTTAATGATAGGTTGGTCTATATGGTTTTGTATAAAATCAAATTGGTTTGGTTCTTTGAGACATCAAGTTAATTTCAAGTGCTACTTGTGCTTCTGATTGGGCTGTCAATGATGAAATCAAAAGCTCAATTAATTAAAGGTTGAATTTTCCCAAAATAATCAGATTGATGGGGGATTGTACGCCATTCATTCTACTGCTACCCTGAATATTGCTATTGTTTATTTGCCACTTTCTTCAAGTATTGCTGCTGTTTGTGACTTTGTGCGGTTTTCATTTCATTTCATTTATACTTTCCTGGAATTGCTCATATTCTGCTATCCGTGAAACGAAAAAAATAGAAAAAATATCACTAAAAAGCATGAATGCAAGCATAAATAAAGACAGGTAATATATATATATATATATAAAGTAATATTTTTTTGATAAATAGAATCCAGTTGAAATCAGTATTAATAGCAATTGTCAAACACAACATTGCATTAGGTTCATTAAACGCCCCAATCGTTATTGAAATTATTGAGCATCATTTGATTCACGAATTGGATTGTGTCAATGCATCCAGAGCATCAAATTTATCAAAAAATGGCCTCTTGCACTCAATCCAATCAAACACATCAAAGATGATGGCAATGAATGCGACGTCATGCAAATTAGGTTCGAAATGCCATGACTGAAATCAAAGTTGCTCAAACTTCATTCCTTCATGAAACAGATTATGTCAATGTGTATGGAACACTAAAAACACCCAGAAAGGACCTCTCAAAACAGTAAATCTCCATCTGACGAGATTAAAGACCAATTGATCCAGCGTCGAGCAAGATTACAAAACCATAGCCCATTTAACAAAATAAAATGCGTCAGCGCATTTGAAATGTCAAATTTATCCATAATAGACACATGTTAGCTTATCCAATGCATGAAGACAAAATAATGCATGAAGACAAAATGTAAAAATTTGCCTGCAGGCAAGGCGTTGGCATGAAATTCGAGACAAACAAGAAATGCATGAATGCCACAAATACTTTTGTTTTATTTCTTTAAAAATTTTAAAATCAAATCCATATATCCCTAAAAGCCCGTCCACCTTGTATCCTCACCCATCTATCAAAGTCTTAAGTTTATCTCATGCAAACCTTTAAATAACTAAGAAAATTTTCTAAACCTACTATTGCTAGTCCGTATTACACTCGGATCCCCCGAATCACAAACTTCACATTCACTAATTGTTTGCAATTCTACACACACCATTGAGCTATCAGTTGTGCCTTCTCTTCCTCTCTTCTCTCCTCCTACTTATCTTCCATTCTCGGACTTCCTCTCACTCCAAAGCCAAGTCAATCGTCCGCATCTTCCCAACCATACACCTCGTTTAGTCAACTCAAAACCTCCACTTTCCTCTCTCATGCTTGCACTTCTCCAAGAACCCCTAACTTGTCATTATTCTTCTCTCTTTTGCTATCTTGCTCATATCCCTCCAACTCCCAACACATATGCTGCTAAAAAACTCCAATGTTGTTCGAAGTTCGAACCACAACCCTTCCAACCAACGGCCACCTTTTACACCGGCTCTGATGCTCCAACAACCTTAGGTTGTCACCATAAGAGTCCTTTGCTGGCGACCGTCTAGAGCACAACTCAGTCCAATGCCTCCCGACATACCTCTCTCTCTCTCACTCAGTCCAATGCCTCTCTCTCTCTCTCTCTCTCTCTCTCTCTCTCTCTCTCTACCTTGTCTCTCTCACTATCTTTCTCTCTACCTTCTCTCTCACACTCTATTTCTCGCTTTCTCTATCTCACTCTACTTCTCTCTATCCCTTCTCCCTTTCTCTTTCTAATATGATAAACTATAAAAAAAAAAAGCTTCAATATGTGTGTGTAATAAAAAAGAAAGAGAGAAGAAAGCAAAAAAGAGAATATATATATATATGAAAAACAATAATTAGAAAAAAAAGTGTTTCATCGCCTCCTAAATTTCTCATTGTCGCGGTCACATTTGTCATCACCGAGTGTAAGGTATGGTATGATACAAAAGTCGCAAAATTAAATGCCTAAGAACGTTGTTCCAACACGGCGGAAAATTTTTTTGCATATGCATGAGTGTTGTTTCAACGTGGTGGTGAAATCTTGTGTATTCTTTCATGCAGGTGATGAAGGCTTATGAGCCTTTTTCTAAATGTGGTGAGTTAGAAGGCTCCCCAACCACAGTGTCTTACAACATTGATCATAGACAATTTTGTAAGCATGAAAGGAAAGCTTAGCACTCCCGTAGATGCCGCCTATAAGGGAGAGACAATGTGAGGCTGAAAATGATAAACTCAAACTTATAATGTGAACACTTCAAACACAACATAAGTCGCTATGAGTAAAGATAAGATTTAAACTAAAACTAAACTTACAAGGACTTAAAATTAAAGTAGTTGCTCGCCTATGAGCAAAAGTAGAACCTCTCGTTCGCTATTAGAACATTCAAACCTATGGAATTCTATGAATTGATACTCGAATGAGGTGAAAAAGAATTAACAAAACTTCCCTGTTCATAAGAGGAGAATTCATTCGGCCAAAGAAAATTACAAACACATCATGATGAAATCGTCACATCTTAAAATACATAACAAGATTGTGACATGCCTTCTACACCACCAAATCTGCAACACACATACACAAGTGCATAGGAATTATTTAAGATTTCAAAATGAAACATTACGTACAATCAAAATCTAGATATTTTTAAATCATGCACGCATCACAATATAAATTTCAAATTCAAGTGCAACATCTTATGGAGTGTGTAAATGCATCATACAAATGCATTGAGAAGTTTGCAAATGCACCATGCAATAGCACCAAAAATCATGCAACTACCTCGATAAGCATGCAATTGCTTTAAAAAATGTCTAAATGCACAAAAAACATGTGAGCATAATATGCAAATGCAACAAAAAGCGAGCAAACACACCATGTTAGAACACAAAAAAAACATCTTCTAATTAATCCCCTTTGATTAAGAATCTTCCTAAATAGCTCCCTCTTGATTAGAAAACTTCCTAATTCACTCCCAATCAAATTGGTCGATCCATAAATTTTTTCTTCCAAAATTTCTTCTATGGGGCACAAATGAGTTCAAAGAAGGCAAGTTATACTTTCAAATTGAAAAACAGTAACTGGTTTTTTATAAATGAATTGGTGTTGTTAAAAGTGTGCCAAAGGAGATAATTGATGAGAGTTCAGAAAATTCGAATAAAATCGAAAAGAAAAAAAAAAAAAGTTAAGTTCCTGCTAAGCAGTGATCCATAGTTGGCAATGGCAGTTTTATGATTAACACCCATCTTGAAAACAACAAAGGTAACAAAACAGTGGTCGATACTACCAATTATCACAACGTCAAGCTTTGGAATCAGAAACTAAAATTCCCACCATCATGCTGATAATTATTGCATAAACAAGTAATGGTTACATATTTCCTTGCACGAGTAAGATTTAGAAGGACAATTTTAGAAGACTCGTCAAAGCCAAAGTGATTGATTGGGTTGATATGATTAGGACCAAGTTATAGCAGCAGCACAATTTCATTTTTAGTTACCATTTCTGATAGTAGAAAGTAAGCTTTTGAGATTCTTAGGATATGAATAATACCAAAACGTAAGACATCAAACACAAAAAAATATATATAGCATCATGGTGTACCTTAATTTGGTGCACTTCCATTGCAAATGAACTTTCAAATAGAAGGGCGGGAAGAAAAACAAACAATAGCAAATCAGGATTAATATTTGCCCCTGTAAAATTACTAAATTAAATTACAATTTGTATGTCGTAAATAGAAAATCTGAGTTGTACTAAATTATTTGCTTTATATTTACAGTCAAATACCATTCGTAAAAGTAAAAAGATTTTAAATATACTCACAAATACGTATCCCATTGCCAACTTTTCCCAAGCCATGATGTGTTCCGTATTCTGAAAATGCAAAAAATACATTTGAAATATTATTTCAAAGAGAATCAATAAAATGGATTGAAGTTAAAAAAATTAAAAAACATTACATAGTATGAAAAATACAAAGAATGCAACTTCTGTTTTTTTCTTATGAATAACTTAACATACAGTTGTGATCTCCATAAATTTAGTGGCATTTAATTCTAGTATTAACACCAGTCTTTAGAAATAACTTATCGTCAAGTCAACAAAATAGAAACAAAATATTACATGTATGGTGTAAAGTTATCTGAGTTTAGCCAATCAACAATAGTAAAATAAATTGAATTATGTCTAGCATGTAGATCAGAAAATGAAGTGGGACAGATAAGGATTGGACGGGATCAAATTGGGCCTTTCTCTACCAAACCCATGCACAATACCTTCCCAATATTTAGGCTGCAACCTTTGACCAAAACCAATTCTCCATTTAGATGATTCAAGCTAAAATAAAAGAAATAGATTTCACAAATCTAGCTGCGACCAGGGTGACTAAGAAATCCACAAAGCTCTAGGAATCTGCAAATGAAAAAAATTCTAGATTGGAGAAAGAAAAGCACATCAATAACTAGAAAGTTTTGATAAAATGAGGCAAACTCTTTAATGGACTTCTTAAAAATTCTTGGAAAACATCCTAGATTTGAAAAGTTCATCATCGGGGCAATGACAGGTAGCAATGGAAGATTATTAACTTTCAATAAAAAACACAGCTCCATCAGCAATTGAGAGGCATCTATCGACGCCTGTTGCAGTCATATTAGCAAACTAAGAATATATAAACAGCTATGCATATAAGAAGCCAAGCAAATGGTAGAAGGGGAATTCTCTATGATGCATCCTCGAGTACATTTCTATTGATTATTAAAACAAACAATTCAAAATTAATGATGCCTTTACCAGGGGAACATAGCACCATATGCATCATTTGCAAGATAGCTCACTTACAGCATTACTTAAGGCTGGTTATGATAACCTAAAGGAATAGACCATCAATGATATACTGGAAAGAAAGCCGATTAAAAAACCAAAATATTCACTTTAACTTTAAAATTATATGAGATGCAAATAATTTAGTGTAAAGTTGAGTTGAAATCTCAACAAGGCGCACTCAAATGCCAATCTCACACAGGTTCTATGGCTAAGTTTAATTGCACTATATTCACTCAGTAACTCGGAGAAATGCAGCCCATAAAAAATGTCATACATACACCCCTCTGCAGTAGAGGTCAAAGGTGATGTATTTGAAGTTTCTACAATATAAAGATCAGCAGGAAGAACTCAATCCATTGTTCCTCATGCTAATACATTTGTTAAATCCACAAGAACATGCGACAAGATTATGGTATCCAATCCATTTCAAAGTATTTGAGAAGTTGACTCCTTACAAAAAACGAAGGATATTAATGGCTATTGTCCTACTTACTGAAGCTCAGATTAATTAGCAGGATAACCTTCAACATGAGAAATGAAACCATCACAATACTTTTTTATTCAGTAACAAGGCATGCATGCACTAAAATGAGCTTATTAAAATCAGGGATTAGATGTTCTTTCACATAGTTCATTCAATGCACAAACTTCCTCAGTTCACCTATGACAAGTAACCACTACCATTAGCTTCATAATTTGACTTCCCATTCGTATCTATTAACCACCATGCATGAAATTGAATCCAGTCATATGCTCCAGTCAAATACCATGTGCATGGTATATTCCAGTGGGGGAAACTTACAGGATTTCGATTTTCCAGAGAATTTCGCAGCACATAATCTCAGTGAAAATCTCAATTAAAACTTAAAAGTTAAAAAAAATATATATAAAAAAATGCGTATCGGCTTTCTGAAGCGTCTCAAAGCTCTCCCCTTCTCCTCATCTTACGAAGAGAAAGCTGGAAAGCTAACCTAATGAATTCCACGGGCTCGACCGCCTCCTGAGCAACTACATCTAAGAACCAGAGATCGCAGAATGGAAACTGACCTAATGATCCCATAGCAATGCCGGCGATGAGGAGCGCGACGGTGTATGGCACTCTGGTGCCCTTAAGAATATGCCGGCAAGCGATACCTAACACCAACGAGATTCCAACGAAGATGACGGCATCCTTCGGCTCCCCCATGCTCTCTTTACCCTTCCCAGATCCCTCATAAGAAAGCGAGCCCTCCACTACCGCCGCCATTCCCGTCGGCTACGGGATGCTGCCCCGGGCTCAACCTAGGTTCCAGAGGCCCGCCACAACGCCTGCATATGAAGCTAAGAAAACCATCGTCGGTGGCCCTGATCGTAAGGACGCGTTCATCCTACACAAGGAGCCGAGCAGGGTATTTATCAGCCAGTTTGCACCATCGCCGGACAAAGGCAATGGTCAACTGTAATTTGTCGCATTCGAAATGATAATCAAGGTTTGGCGGTTGGTGTTAGGAAGGCTGGCGCGAGCAAGCTTAAAAGGTCACTGAGAAACTGAGAATTTCGAAAATAATATTTAATTTTATGCCCGTAAATAGTCGTAAATCGTAATACAAATTCTTCGTTTAATAACTATTTTATATTTTTATTTAATAAAATATCAAATATGTCCGAATAATTGTTGTCAACATTACAGTAATAACATACCCATCTATTTCATTCGCAGCCTTGCACTACAGCTATTCTTGTTTTTTTCTTTATTTTGCTCTTCTAACGTGCCATGTAGGATCAGTTTGGGATGACTACAAAATTAATTATAAAAACATTATAATTACAGATTTTGTAAAAATTTACTTCTCAAAAAAATAAAAATAAAAATAATAATAAATTATAATTGTAATTTAAAAAATAAAATTGTTGTGGGCTAGAATATGTACGCAATAGAGTCATAATTTTACATCTCAACATTGTACGAATATTCAACACACAAACATAGAACACAATATTTTTTACATGTAAAACCCTAAAAAAAGGAAAAAGCATGGGATCACGCCCAATTTAAACAATTTCACTAGTGTTTTGGGTAGATTACAGTTGACTGAATCATCCTTGAGGGCGATCATATTATAATAATCAATCGTCTGGTTGAAATCTAATGACATACGAATGTCTGGCGTAGATATGTTAACATTTGGTAAGGCGGAAGTTCAGCATCAAGTGGTGGTCCGACGGAAGTTCGGGCGTTAGTTGGTGTTCCGACAGAAGTCCGGCGTCAGACGGTGGTCCAGCAGAAGTCCGGGGGTCAGTCGGTGGTCCGGCGGAAATCCGGCCATCAGTTGATGATCCAGTGGAAATCTAACGTTAGGTGGTGTCCGGCGGAAGTCCAAGCTTCAGTTGGTGTTCCAGCTGAAGTCCATCGTCATGCGGTGGTCGGACAGAATTTCTACGTCAGGTGGTGGTCCGAAGGAAGTTCGGACGGTGGTCGATGAGGAGCTAGGTGACAAGAGCGATTTTCAATCTCTCTCTTGTTTCCTTGCTTGAGGTCCCCCCTCATGAGAAGTGAGGGTATATTTATAGATTTCCTTGAGCGGCATGGCTAGTAAATAGAAAGAAGATTAAGGGTATTTTTTGAGTGGTTTGCATAGACGGCCAATGTTGATTCTCTTGATCATGAACTATTTACTAGACATTTCAATGTCTTAGTGATATCAAAATTCAGTGATCTTGGGCTCGTTGTATTCGTCTCATCAAGCCGCTTGATTCAACTATAAGCATGTCACGTTTTGAAACCGTTTGGTAATCCAACTTGTGGTTTGAATCTTCCAATAGCGTTTAGGGTCTTTGATTTGGACTCATTTGGGCTCAAAATGTGTCGAAATTGGTGTCACTGGGTTCTTTTTTTTTTAGACGTTCCGTTCGACTGTAAGTCTGCTGAAATCAGAGTTTGGATGGTCCATATTTTAATTTTAGAAGTTTCCAACTTTAATTTACCTCGAGATTCATGCCCGGTCAATATAATTTTTTGATAATATATCAAAATACTAAAAAAAAAATCTTGAATGAAATCTTATTCTTGAAGCAATTAGGAATGTCCATTTGATAAATTTGTACAAAATATTATTATTAGACTTTAAGACATGAACAATGGTTCAGAGATGTTATGGGCATATATTAAAGTAATTCTTTTAATAATTTATATGAGATATGTTGATTGATCATATTCTCCACCAAATTCTGTATGTCTACTACCATATTTTTAAGTGATACATTATAATTTATAATTTGTACTTTCCACAATTTAAAACTTATTACACATTCAGTGGAGTTCATTAGTCAAAAGTAAAAAAGAGAAAAGAGGCTTATCCTACTCACACTTTTCTTGCTTTATATTATCTAATGGAACTTATGTTGCTTTTCTCCTTTCACTTTATAGGGTAAATAAGGTAGTCAGTCTATTTAGCGCCTCAAGTAATAATATTCTTGTTCAAAGATTTCACTTTTTCTTTGTGAGGACTAGGTTCATGTTCTAAATTTTTAGGCTAACAAGATGGGACATTGATAGGGATGTAACCGAGTCAAGTCGAGCTCGAACACTATTTCAAGCTCAATGGCTTATGAAGCTCGAGGTCGAGCATGACTCCAATTGAGTCGTGAACTCGTCGAGCCGCTTGCGGATGTGATGGAACTCAGGACGACGACGGAGCTCGTGATGATGGTGAACGCATCGACGGAGCTCGGGACGACGAAGGTTGTGTGTTGCTCTTGACGGAGCTGGACAACGGAGCTCGACGTGAGACTAGTCGAGCTCGAGTTCAACTCGAGTTCGAGCTTGACCTCAGTATTTGATAGTCAAGCTCGACTTGAACACCGTCTGACTCAAGCTCGACTCAGCTCATTTGCACCCCTAGACATTGCTAAAGAAGCAGGCATATATAAGAAAGGAAATAACCTCGTAATATATTAATTAAGACTTTATTTGAATCAGCTTTCTTCAACAAATTGACTAATTCTTAATAATGATTAAATAAACTTAAAAATAATTAATTATTCTCCTAATTTTTGTAAGTAGAACGTTATGAGATAACTTCTTTTATATTGAATATGATTACGTGATGAGGTTTTCACAATAGAAAATCTCAGCATGCTTTAAATTCTAAGTTGTTTTATGATTTTCAATGAACTGTTGATTATTTAACAAGAGTATGACATAATATATCACGATGAAGTCGCCATCATAACCATCTTCATTAACGAAAACATATCCACAAAATTAAAGATTAATGGCAACATAATTCTAATATAATTAATTGAAGAAAGCGAAATTAGATTTTGTGTTGTATTGAAGAAGCTTTTAATACATATGAGCTTTAAAACTATTCAATCATTTCATATATATTTTGGATTCTTGATGCAGAATAACTTGAAATTATTTCACCAGGAGTAAATCACTCCATTTCTATAGGTTGGTGAATCTTAGGCTTCGTTTGATTATTTAGTACATTTGTTAAAGACAATTTTAAGAAACATTGATTCAGAAAATGGAGTTTTTTAACGGAGAAGCATATGAAAAAAGCTTTCTCAAAACAGCAAAAAATGAAAAAAAAAATTTATTGAGAACTTGGTTTGACAAACCAAACAGTAAAGAAAAAATAAATTTGTCATTTTAAAATGGATTAAGCACCAAAAACTTTCAATCAAACGAAACCTTACTCTGATATTCCAAGTTCCAACAAGTATAATTTGAGTAGGCACTCGAAGTAGAGTTGAGATTCTCTTATTATAATTTATATAGATTAGCCATGAGAGTTTTCATTTGTTACCTAAATTTTTTTTATATGTTTTTATTATTTCTAATATTTTTTTAATCTTGAAGGCTTTGTTTGCAACAACTTTCTTATTATTTTCTGAAATATTTTTTTAGTACAAAATTTAAAATAAAAAAATCTACAAAAAAACTATTTCATAAAGCTGCCGCAAATTAATGAAGGCTCCGTTTGGGATGGTTTTTTATGCTTCTTAAAGTTGCTTTCTAGTAAAAAATTAAAAATATTATACTAAAATGTTGTTTTAAGAAGTAATAAGAAAGTCGTCACAAACAAAGCCAAAGTCTAAGGCTTCGCTTGGGACGGCTTTCTTACTGCTTTATGAAACAGCTTTTTAGTACAAAATTTTTTAGTTTAAAAATTTTTTATACTAAAAAGTTGCTTTAGAAAGCAATAAAAAAGTCATCCCAAACGAAGTCTAAGACTTTATTTGGTACGGCTTTCTTATTTCTTGTTAAAACAATTTTTTTAGTATAATTTTTTTTATTTTTGTACTTAAAATCTATTTTAAGAAGTAATAAAAAAAATCATATCAAATAAAGCCTAATTTTTTTTACTCAAAATATTGTTCATTTGTAAATGAATATATGAATTGCAATATTGATATATAACTAATCTCAAAATACTAAGTTTCCCTGAAATAACTCCTCATATAAGCATTGAAGTTTGTTACTTTGATTCAAAGTTTATTCACATTAGAAATCAAGATAAATTTTCAAAACCACTACTGTACTTATTTTAATTAGCTTAAACATATTTAAAATAAAATAAAATAAAAATTAAAATCAGGCATAGTTGTTGGGTAGGTTAGCAACTAGTCATGGACATGACACGCCAGTCGCTCCCTAGCCCAGCGATTGATTTTTAAGAAAATAAATAAATAAAAAGAATAATATAATATTGTTAGCAGTTAGGCTTGGCTTTAATAAATATAAAAAAAAGTTAATTTTCCATTTTTTTAAATAGAGATTGAAGAGATAAATATTATAAATATTTTTTATTTTCAATATTTAAATAAAAAAGAGGTTGCCAAAATTTGGATTTTAAAAATTTGTTTTTAATTGATATTATTTTTATTAATTTATGATTTAAATAATACATTAATAATTTTGTTTTTCAATAAAATAATTTTTTATTTTGAAAATTAGAACTTTATGTTAAAATTAAATTATTGTAAAATCAAGATATATTTTAGATGAATTGAGAGATTATCTTAAATTCAAAATAATCTATGGCATAATAAGTGAAAATGAAAAATAAATTAGTATTGTAAGGAACAACCCATTGGTACTATAATTATCCAACTTTATCGTTCTATCACTGAGGTAAATTAAGAACGTATAAAAGTCATATCAGTATGATATCTATCAATAGTGCTGACATATATCTTGTATAGCAGTTTATAATCTATAAAATTATGAAATTATATATGTATGAACATGAATAAGAAATGCTTGATTCAGTTATATGTTATCAATATCATATAGTTTAGCAAGATAGTTCATCAAGCCTTAATGCGGTGTTTTTAACAGTTTTAACCTCAATTGTTTCTCAATTGGTCATAAGTCATGTTATTTCAAATGAACAACAATCCTATGTATGTCTTGTATCTCATCTTTAGATTTAGTACATTAGCACTGGATAATTTATAGTCAACACTTACTCATTTCATATAAAATGTCATATAAGTCAAAACATTTGGTAAAAATTTA